CGGTAAATACTAACATCAGTGAGAATGGCAAATGTAAAAGAATTTCCGAAAGATTTGAGAGATGAAGTAATTGAATTATTTAGAAGTGGTGTCAGAGATGTTGACATTAATCAAAGATTAAAAATGAGCAAAGGGACGGTTTCGAAAATTATTAGTAAATATCAAGCATTCGGATCAACAGCAACGCGGCCCTGGTGCGTAAGACCGAAAAAACTGATTATGTTTTGGAACGATACATCAAACGTTTGTCCCAGGGAGATCCTCGAATGCCAGCCACACAGGTTTTCAGAAGAATCGTAGAACAGTGTACCGAGAATATTTCTGTCAGAGCAGTGCAAAGACGCTTGGTGGATTTTGAGCTTTTTGGTAGGCGTCCAGTGCAAAAGGCTCCCATTAAAAAAAAACATTGTATTGCTCGGCTTGAATTTGATAAAACTCATCTAACTAGGACATAACCCGAATGGAATACAGTTTTATGGAGCGATGAAAGCAAATTTAACTTGTTTGGATCTGACGGTACTGCATAGGTGAGACGTCCAATACGAAAAAGATTCGACAAAATGTATCAGTTGCTAACAGCTACGCACGATGGAGGCAACATCATGGTTTGGGGCTGTCTCTCTAGTTCTGGAACGGGTCCAATTGTTAAAATTGTTGGACAAATGGATCAAGGACTTTACAAAAATATTCTTAGTGAACACATGCTCTTTTTTGCTGAAGAAGAAATGCCTTTACGATAAACGTTCATCAAGGTAATGGCCCCAAGTATACCTCAAAAGTACTGATTAATGTTAATGTTCTTACACGGCCTTACCAATCCCCGGACCTAAGCCCTATAGAACATCCCTGGGAGCATGTTAGAGACAACGACAAGACAAACTTAAAAAAACGGTAACGATCTATTTGATTATGTAAAAAATATTTGGTAAGATATTGATATCAAACGTGTGGCTAGATCTGTTTAACATAGAATGTGTTGTTGTTCCTTCCTTTGTACGCCCTGTATAGTTTCTAAAAGTTAAAAGCATAATCTGTACATGTATGTTTTACTGCGAATGCCTGTGTTGCTCTATGTTATTCATCATATGTATACTTTTTCTGTCGACCTCATTGATTTTGACATACGTAATTACATATTATTCGCTTATTTGGGTGCTCCCCTCCAGTTGAGCAAGGTAGCTGTCAGATAGGCTTCGCCACTGGTATTGGGTGGCGCATCAAAAACGAAACAGACGCATTTACTGGCAGCTCAGTTTTTTTTGAAAAACGCTCAGACCCGTCGATTTTGATTTCGAGAGGGACACAAGTTTGGCAAAAAATCTCGTTAGCACGTGAAGCCCCCTAAGCGGGGGTGACACCACCTCCAAAATCTTAAATGGAAAGGGGGGCGAGTGATACCCTATTTTAAAGGTCTTCCAATCTCCTTTATAATGATATAAAATTAATGTACTTCAGTTCAGTAGTTGTGAAGATTTATTGATTTAAAGCTTAAATAAAATTAATACATCATCATTACAATCAATACATTTGGCAGCAAAGTAATTTAAAAATGAAGAATGAACTGAACCGTTAGGCAAGTAAATGTTGAAAATGGTAACCATGACTCTCCATGCAATAGTAAAGATTTTGCTCAAAACGTTGACGCACTTTTTGCAATTCTTGAGGAGTAATTTGAAGGCACTCCTTCACAATTTTTTGTCGCAGGTCTTCTAATGATGTTGGCTGAGTAGCATAGATTTTGCTTTTTAAATGGCACCTCTTCTACCAATCCATCGATCTGGAAACATCTGATCTAAATATTGTCGAACACGTAATGCGTAATGTGGTGGGGCACCATCCTGTTGGAACATCAACCTATTCGCAATGTACCGACGATCATTCGGATTTTCAATTATGGCTGTTAATGCAGGATCTATGGCGTCTTCCAGTAATTCCAAATACATTTTACCGGTCAAATTTGCAGGTAAGAAAAAAGGACCAACTAAATGATCGCCAAAAATACCAACCCAAACATTTAATTTTTGTGGCTGCTGTGTATGAACCTCAGGATAAATTCTGGGATTAGAATCCGACCAATATCGGCAGTTATGACGATTTACTACGCCCTTTAAGAGAAGGGAACATTCGTCGGAAAAGCAAGTGTTGAATAGAAAATGTTCATCGTTTATAAATCGTTCACTCTTATCTTCACAACTTCGACTAACACCACACACAGTCTCCAATTTGCGGGTACTTGACGTAGCATCTACATAAACTTGCCCTATAACCCCCACTTCTATTGCTTCGTTCCTTATGGGATTTTCAATGTTGCGTTTTTTATTGGCGACTGACCCAGTTTCCCGAAATTTAGCTCCAAGTTCTAGAACACATTTTTGATGCACGTTACTGTTCTCATGTCGCTCATTGAATATTTCTGCTGTTCTATTGGCGGACTGATTATTTCCGAAAAATATTTCGATAATTTCAACTCTTTCTGCTGTGGAATATACCATGGTTAATTTATGTAATACAGCATTACAAGTTATTTTAGCAACAAAGTTTGGTCAAATCAATCGCAAACTATGTACCAAATTCGTATTTAAAATAAGTAGGTACGAGATATTTCCTTATCTTTCTTCAAGAAATAACTTTTTTGCCTCAAAAAAAAGCTCCAACAGCTACTTTCAACAACAAAATTATAAACAAACCATGAGCGTAGTGAAGAAAAGCATTAACTTATTAAGTAAATTCTTTTAGTCACATTTCTTCTGAAAGTAGTACAAACTAATCTGATGTACCTACTAAAGTCTACTTTAAGCTTTAAATCAATAAATCTTCAAAACTACTGAACTGAAGCTCATGTATTTTACATGATTATAAAGGGAATTGAAAGACCTTTAAAATAAGGTATCACTCGACCCTCCTTTCCATTTAAGATTTTAGGGTTGGTGTCACCCCCGCCCAGGGGGCTGCACGTGTTAACGTGATTTTTTGCCAAACTTGTGCCCCCCTCGAAAACAAAATCGACGGCTCTGAGCGTTTTTCCAAAAAAAAAAACTGAGCTGCCAGTAAATGCGTCTGTTTCGTTTTCGATGCGCCACCATATGGTTTATATATAAAAGTGGCAATGTTAAAGTACTTTTCATTTTGAAATCGCATCCCAAATCAAGCCAGGAGAAAATGAAAACGACTTTGCGAACATTCCGTTTTTCCGGAAATACTCAAAATTGCGAAATTGTTTAGGTGACATTTGCTTAGTTACCTTCGTATCCCTTACCGTTATCTAATTTAAAACTTGTGGTTTAGAGAAGATTGGTTGTTTTACTCTATCTTGGATTTGGACATATTGCAGGTCCAACAGAGGGTGTAAGTAAAGTATACACGACTTTCAAGTCCACCTTGAGCGCCATCTGAAGAAACTAGCTGTACTAAATTATCATTTATGATGACTTAGATATTTCTCGCCACTTTCTTCAGATGGCGTTGCCACCTGTGGTATTGGAAAGTAATTAAGAAGGTTTAATTTGTAGTGTACCAATAACTGGCTCAACTGGTTTTGAGCTCCTTACCTCTCACAGCTTGTCCTACTTTCAGCCAGATACCGGAACCCATGCATAGTAGTAGTAGCGCAGTACTCCGTGACGTAAGCCTTTAAGCCCCTCATTTCTTTTTTTATAAAAATCGATCTACCAGTTCTAGCATGTGTAGTACGTGCAGCATGACGTCTTGAAATTGCTGCTTCACTGGGAGTTTCAGGCTGTATGAAGTCACCTTCGTAAGGATTTCCTATGTCATCGTCATCGTCGTCATCATCATCTAAGGACCTTTTGCGAGAGTTTCTGTCCATTGATGCTAACAGGAATTCAGTTGAAGCTGTTTTAAATTCCATAAATAGTCATGTTTAGAACTTCTTGTTTTTTGGAATTTTCTCGTTAGGACGCCGTTCTGTTTGAGCTTTGACCATAGTTATGAAGTTAAGCATGACAAATTTTGGGTTCAACTTAGTTGATAAGTGACACAATGACATCTGGTTTGGGTTATCTCACGAATTCCGTCTCTGACGTTAGTAAGTGATATACCGAGTGATTCAAACCAAGCTTTCAGCATTGAGATTTCGGAAACAATAAGAGATAGGAAGTCGGCTAAATGGAGACAAGCTTTTACATTCAGGTACCCAGCTCAGAAAATGGCACCCGGAAAAGGGGAAAGGGTGGGAGAAATCGAATCTTCAGAATAATATTTATGTTTGCCTGACTTTATTGCCATATTTTCTTTTTTACAAGATGGCTTAAGAAGTTGCATGTCCTCAATCGTCATTATTTTTTCTTATAGACTTTATATTGGATTCTCACACACGTGAATAGAGTTTTTCATTCCGATTTCAAAAATGGGTATCATGCTGTAACGCCTTCGTACAGCTGGGACCTTGAGAGGAGAGGAGCCGCCTTGCATAGTCGACGCTTAAGCAACCAGCTATACAACCGCGTGTAACCGCTTGTGGTGCTCTCTAAGGCGCAATCCACACAGAACGGGCGTGTGGTGGTGGCGTGGGACTGGCGTGCTGCGGTGGAGGAACAGACGTGGCGCGTTCAATTCACACTGAAATGTCAGAACTCAGTTTCCCTCAAGACGTGGATCACGGAGTGACGACTGACGATGCTTTCGGATGACGAAGATGATCAAGATATATTAGACCTTCTGAATTTAGCTAACATACAAATTCAAAGTAGATTTTGGATACATCCTTTGTGGCTAGATAAAGGGAAAACTAGTGGTTCGTTATGCGGGAGCTCAATATGTACCCTGAACGTTTTCAAAATTTCTATCGAATGTCAAGTCAATGTTTTTATAAAATACTAGCAGTAGTAAGGGTAGACCTTGAAAAGAAATCAACAAATTGGAGAGAACCGGTCAGTCCAGAGGAGAGGCTGTTAATAACGCTGAGGTAAGTTGAAAAAATATATTAAACTAAATTGAATTAACTCAAATAAAAGAAAACATAAAAGCAGTAAGATCAGGTATTAATTATTGTATCGTATAAACTCAGTCATATTGAAAGGGTCCGTGTTGGTTTGCGGGATTGAACCTGGATTTCTATTCACCGAGTCTTCAACCCAAGATTGAGAACCATCCATTGGTGGAGTAGTAGCTTCCAGATTGGTTGAGGATAGTATTTGCTCGGCCAAATTTAAAATGCCCATTTTGAAATGCCGTTTCTGGTTAGAGTTCATAGACTTCATGTCAGACAGAACACTGTATAAAAATGCGAGGTCAGGATCAGTAGGATCAACTGTGGTATTTGTTTTCATGACGTTCTGGATCTCCAGTACTTTCTGTTTTTCCTCAAAATACTGATAAGCTTGCTGGTTGATGTCATTGATAGAGGTTGCTAACTTCTTTTTTTTTTTAAATCATCTCCTTTCCGTGATGGTGTTTTAGGTGCTTTCATTGCTAACAGGTGATCATCGACAGAAGTACTGGGAGATGGTATAGGTGAATGAGAGGAATGAGTGGATAGAATGTTATTGGGTGATTGAACCTCAATGTTGCCGTTTTCTTCATATTCATTAGCATCTGTTTCCTCGTCAGCTGATAATGCAGACTCTTCAGCTATGTTGCCTTTGCTTTTGCGAGACTTCAAGAAAGGATCCAAGAAGAGGAGATGTGGGGCCAGATAATATTCTTTGACTCGTTCAGCTCCTTGTCCTGATTTTGTTTGTAGTTTTGCCCTATATTTTGAATAGCTCGTATATTCTTCCAGCGGTCTTTACACTCGGATACTGAAACAAAAGCAAAATTATACATTTAAATATACGTTAAAACAAAATACTGGTCTGTATAAAGTGAACATCTATTGCCTATTTTCAGGTACTTCGTGACTGGATGTTCATTCAAAGCCCTTTCCTTCTACTTCCTGAAAGGTCATTCTACTATACAAGAGATTGTGCATCACACCGCCCAAGTCATATGGAAGAAATTACAACCTGCCTATATGCTAAAACATACACAAACTAAGTGGGAAGCGAAACGTTTTGCATGAATTGTGGAATCTTCGCAACTGTATTGGTAGCGTAGTTGGCAAACATATTCGAATAAAAGCACCACTGCGGTCAGGATCTGCTTTCATCAACTATAAAGGGTTTTTTTCTATTGTTTTACTTGCTATGGCAGATGCAGATGGCCTATTTCTAACAATCGATGTAGGTGAATTCGGACGCAATAGTGACGGACGAGCCTTGAAAAATAGCAGTTTTGGAAAAGCGTTGAAGGAACGATGTCTGAATATACCTGAACCAGCTGCATTACTTGGAGAAATGCATCCATCAATTCCCTACTTTTTTGTAGGCTATGAGGATTTTCCCCTATCCTCAAATTTAATGAGACCCTTCTCTCGAAGAGAGTTGATAAGTCACGAACGAAAGATTTTTAATGTCCAGAGCACGGAAATCAGTGGAATGCGCTTTTGGTATGCTTACAACAAAGTTCGATGTGGTCCTACTAAAGTTGATGATCTAATTCAAGCAATGTGTGTGTTGCACAACGCGATTAAGGAGTGCGATGGCACATTCTCAAGGCTCAAATATGAAAACGTTATTGTTGGCGATTCCACTCCAGTACAATTAATACAAAACGCTAGAGATATGAGAATTTACCTCAGCAACTATTTTAAAGACCGCGCACCAATTCCTCATTAGGATAGATATTGCGTATGAATGGAATCAGATACCCTGTAATATAAAAAAAATCAATAAACATGTACCTACTTACCAGTTGCACTGCTTCTTTTTAGATTTGTTCCCATTCCTGGTCTTGTGCACTTCTGTTGCAGTAATTCGATCGTCTGTAATCATATAGAACTGTATATTGTTCCACTAGTTCACAGAACTCGATATTAAATTGAAAATCGTCCCGCATTTTGATTAGCAAACACCAAAAATCAACAAAAGTAGCTGTCAGGTGTATGGCATTTGCCACTAATGTAGGCCACTCGTGGTGTCGAAGTGGTACGGCGGTGGCGCGAATTATTTCGCCGGCGCCACATCACTTCTGTCTGTATTGCTGCATAAACGAACATGTGATGACACATGCCCCTGCCACGCCAGACCCACGCCACCACCACGCGCCCGTTCTGTGTGGATTGCGCCTAAAAAGGGTTAGACCAATATTCAAGAATAATCGAGAACCGCCTGGAGATACTTGCTGCCATCTAGGCTACTTGAACGGAACCTGACGACTCTGCCTGTAAACCGCTAGAACATTTCTTGGCGCATCGATAGGTGGATATATACCCGACCAGATGGCGGAAGCAGGTAGTCACAGTCGAGAGGGTCAGCGACGCAGAATAAAATTTGTTATAAATTAGTTGCAAGAGTTATAAATTAGTGTAGCAGTGATAAATTGGACTTTGAATACTCAAACGGTGTTTTTGTTACAATGCACTGACATTTGCCAAACCTCAGATACTTAAAAAAAACTAATTTCCTTAATTATACAAAAGTTATTTGATTCATATCATCAGCCAAGCATTCTTCCAGTTTTTATAAACCAAACATAGTTGAAAAGACCCTATTTCGGATTGTAATTATGTAATTGTATGTGACAAATTGATATTATAAAAATTCAAATATGTATCTAAGGACGTAGTCCTCCTGTAGTTCGTCATCGAATAAACAACAACCTAACCTTTTCATTTTTCAAAATGGACTATGAAACTATTAGTATTGGGCCTTACGATGTTAATGTATGTCATATTCCATGTTCCTTGCATCGACATGAAACATTTCATTCAGCTGTGCAAATATCCAGTATGGAGTCTATAATAAAAAGTAAAGTTGATAATTGAGGGCAAGAAACGCGACGTCATAATGAAATTTTAATTATGCCACCTGGTAGAAGAGACAAAGCGGCAACGCTAATATTGAAATCCTAACTAAGGCCCGTATCGTCATTCGTCCCTACAATTGTAGGGCGCGTGTATGGCCTCCTTGATTGTCATACTCCTTTCTCTCCTTCAAAAATTTCTAGATTACACTTGTCCCGTGTCAGCGTCAGCGCTCTCCTATTGTGAAGATATATTACCTTTTTAAATTGTAGGAAATTTCAGGCTGATAAAACATGATATAACTCAAAAGCAAGCACAATTTGATGCAAATAGATGTTTGTGACATAACCTCAAAATAGAGCGCTGACACGGAGAAGTAGAAAACTATGACAATCAAGGAGGCCATAAAGGTGCCCTACAATTGTAGGGACGACTGACGATACGGGCCTAAAATATAGCGAGCAAAAAATAGAAACAATTTAGGTAAAATCTCTCCGTTTGTCTCCGGAAATACACAGCATATCGAAAGTTTCTGTGTTCCATTTTCTTAGCCCCGAAAAAATTTATTTTGCTTTTTGACGTACCAGAGGCTCCTGGGTCATATTTGGACAAAAAATTGTGGGTTCTGAGAACCGTGGCCTGGGAAATGTAAGGAATGGGGGAGGGTATATACAGTGAAATTAATTTACTTTTTCGGTCTTAGCTACAACAGCGGGGGAGGGTGCGGCCGTCGGCGTGAGATTGACGTTTCGTTTGGCTCTTTTCAGCATCCGTTAAACAATTTGATTTGTCTCCAATACTTTGCGTTTCTAGTTAGTATACTCCCACCTAGTCCAAATTCGTTGATCTGTGGCATGTGTGGGGATGCTGGAACCTTTGACAATTCAGAAAGTACAAGACGTATTTGGATAAAATTTTGTAACAGTTTACAACTATGGCAAGACAAATCCTCGTTGTTTTTGAGAATTTAGAAAGTATCGTTGAGAAGTAGACAAAAAATCGAGATAATACTGCATAAAGGCTGTGCTAATAATGCCAAAGAGCACAGAACAGTTGGCCATGGCTGGCCGTCTACTGTCGGACTGACGGAAGCAGTAGGCTAGAAAAAATCTCAATTATCGATTTTCAATATTTCCGAAGTTCATGATTACTTTCCGAACATTTTCGTAAATGGATTGGTTGGGCTCAATAAAATATCTCTCATCCTAGTGTTACATAACGTTTACTGTGCTCAAATAAGGTGTGAGTATATTAGGAATTTTGTACATGCTGGTACATAATAGAAAATTAGTTGTGCATGGGATGATTAATTTTTAGGCCCTGTCCAAATATTGTACAATCTAAAGTTGCAACAAATGCGAACAGATAGAAAATAAATTATTTCTGCCAAGGATAAGAATGAAAATCCAGTAAATAGTCCGAGAAGGCCTCCAAAGTTCGCCAAAAAATCAGTAGGGCCATATAATTCGTTTCGCTCCGACGTCAGGAAGGATTCCTGCTTGAAGAATATTGTTAGCCTGGCATACAAATACCTGAAATGTTTGGTAAAATTATTCCAAAAGAACTTTTGCACAAAATTCACAACAGCAAATAATAGATATTAAAAAGATATGATGGTAACACTTTATTTTTAAAACATTTTTACATCTTAAAGGTACGTCACCATTACAACTTTGCGCAGCAACATATGTCGGAAATTTGTCTTGGAATGGGGTGACTACAGAATTGCAACATGTGCTGCAACTTGTGCCGTGGAAAATTTGTAAATGCTCTGTGCACACTCAGCGCAAACGTGTCTGAGGAAATAAGACGGCAAAAAGCACCGTCTATTTCTAGAATTGCCTACTGCAAGAGTCAAAACAACAAGCTGTCACTGTGTGGCCGCTAGATGCCGCCCATTCCGGTGATAAGACCTACATGAAGTCGGAACATAGGTATGCCTTCAACTGCCTACATTGAGAACGTACCTTTAATAAGGAATAATAACAATTGGCTATTCTAATGTTAATAGCAGTCAATAGCCGAGGTTCGTAGCGGACAAGGCACGCGAAGAAGAAGTTATTACTTACGATTCGTTAACTGGTTTTCTACGGCGAGCCAGATGCAGTTCTTTATAGTTCCAGATAGATTGAGAGTGCTCCACCATATAAGTTATGTCTACACAGGATGGCTTGCAGTCGCAGAAATACGTGTCACTTTTCTGGTTTGCAGTATATTTTAGTTGCCAAACTTTCAACAAAACTAAAACATGTTATATATAAGAAATTTCAATGTTGATAAAAATCTGGTATACAAAAATTAACAGGTTGAGGTAGAATACATTAATCAATGCCTTCAGATAACTAATTGAAGTAAGCGTTAGAGATGTCTCAAAAAAGGATTTAAGTTCTTAAGGCCACACATTAGACAGTTGCAAAACTAAACATTCCAAGTTATTTACCAAGTAGATTTCTAATTCATCTTTTTAAAAAATAAAGTAGTCGCGTAATCAGGACCCTTAATACTAGAGCACTGCCGCTGCTCTGACTTTGTTAGTCCGATTTTTCAACTGCCTAAGGTTAGTACAACTAGAAGACGGCTCTTCAGATAGACACATTCTGACTACCCTACCAACAAAAGAGCGGCCGTATCAGCTGGATCTGGATGTAGGATGGAAGGCCGAGATTAGGCTAGTCTGTCTGTCAGGAACATCGTGCGGCGGTATCATGAAGGAGAGCTCTGAGGATCAAAGTCCGTTGACATAGCGATAGAAGAGGGCTAGATTGCCGTTAGAGGTAAGTCATCGACCAGTCTTTCTCTGAACAGTCTGGAGCATGGATAACTTTGTCGAGGTTGCAGCACTCCACAAATGTGAGCAGTACTCGAGGCCAGATCTTATCTGGCCTTTTGCATAGTAAGCATGTTACGTGGAGGAAAGTTCTTCTTAACCCTAAGCAAATAGTCTAGATTTTTCCCAGCAGCTGTTGCTATTGACAAGATGAGTTGGTACTAGATCAAGTACTCGGTAATCTGGACAGTCTCCGACAGCTGAGATAAGTGGGTCTCGGAGAGTACTCGATTATCCTTCGAAACCGAATGAGTGCTAGGACGCCTTTTGTTCATCAAGGCACAGTACTGTGTTTTGGAAGCATCAAACTGTACCTGATAGTTGCATCCCCAAGCAGTGATAACCTCCAAGTCTCTCGTTAGGCTATGGTTACTATAGATGCAAATTCTGATAAAATTTTGTTCGGATGAGTACTGACTAATTTGTCCAAAAGAACTACAGCCTCTTTTACAATAAGCTTGCTCAAACTGACAGCGACCAGCTCCCTAACTTGACCCGTTCAAAAGATAAGTATAGGGCTACCTTTATGAAAGGCACTGTAAATAAGTGTGTATGAGTATAATGATGTTTTTTTCAGATCGCACAATCTCCCAATTTGCTTCAGAATTTTTCATTCTATTTTCTGTGATTGTGAAACCTAAAAGAACATCATGCATGCCTTTTAAGAAAGTAATTTATAATCCAATACTACAGTATATTCAGATAAGAGATAGACCGGACATAAACAAGACCACGTGATCATTGAACGCTGTAACATTCGGCAGGGACGTATTAAGAGTCACGCAGTACATATTTTAGATAGTAGATGCTGCTTTGCGTAACTTTGTAGTAAATTAGCACAATTCGATGTGTATACGATTGGTGATGGATATAGGATCATGTGGGGGTGGGGTAAGAAATATATAATGATGTAAATATACATAAGGGTTTCAAAATTTTCGCTTCGATTTCCAGCTTCGGATGCCGCCTGATGTTTGGTGAAATACAGTCGAATATAATCTCAAAATGGCGTTTAAATTAGCCTAAATTAAAAATAATCGTATATCTCTTAAAATTGCTTTTAGAATATTGATTAGTATATTTTTTGATTTCTAGGTAAATATGTAACCAAATTAAAACGTTCAAAACGTAAAAAAATGTGCATGGTTGAACATTGTCAGAAAGTAGATTCTTGAATAAGTTTTGCCAAAATGGGTTCAAAAATGTCAATAATTAATTAAAAAATACAGTAGCTTTATAAATACTTATAACTTACCGAATTTGATGAACGACATCTTTTATTGGAAAGATGAGCTTGATGAGCTTTCATCATCGCTACTGCCTGAAGCACCCACGTCAATAATGAATGGCTCGACTTGTTCCTCTAAAATATTGTCCAGTTCCCACATTCTCTTTTCAACTTTGTCTTTCACGTGCTTAATACAGTTTTCCCATTTTTGCGCTGTTATTAATTCTAGTGCTTCTTTGAAAAGTCCTTTGAGGTCACAAAATTTAAAAGTTGTATTGTGCTTAGCTATATAATTTTTAACCTCTGCCCATATGAGCTCAATGGGATTGAGCTCGCAATGGTAAACGGAGCACTGTTTTATTTTGACTTGCTGCCATTTCGTCAATGGTGTATTTTTGATATTCCGCCTTGTGATCCTTGACAATTCTTAATAATTGTACTTTCAGCATTGCTTCTTCAAAGTTGATATTTTTCGAGCGGAGCCAATTTTGAACATCAACTTTCCTTGAAGCCGTTGTTGGGACCTTCTCCATTCTTCGAGAATGATAAGGCGCATTATCCAACACAATTACTGCGTTTTCCTCTAAGTTCGGTAAAATTTTTGAAAACCACTGTTCAAACGATTCGCCATTCATTTCCTCGTGGTAATCTCCAGTTTTCTTAGACTCAAAGCACCACAGACCGTCAACAACAAATCCATCCTCACTGCCAATATGGCAGATAATGAGCCTTTTCCCTTTACCTGGAAATCGAAGTACTAACTGGTGTAGATTTATTTCAATAAGCGAACCTCTTTCAAATGTTTTCATCACATTCAGCGAAAAAACATTGAGACATGAGTATCAGATTGCTATAATTGGGATTATTTAGTCATATTGAAAGAAAGAATATTGAACGTCGTATGATTACTCAGCGCTTCACAATTTAATTTAAAGTTATAAACCTTTAAAAAATGAATAATCAGGAACCTGAAATACGCGCAAATATTAATATTAACAAATTATAACTTTATAAAGCTTAAAGTATGAATTAAAATGATTAGAAATATTAGGAACGGTACACAATATAAAACTTAGTAACCTTTTTTAAGTTTATAATATTCGACATATTTTAAGATTATATTAAAAAATTATTGAAATATCGAAAACACATAAAAACATGGCTTAAAAAAGTTCTAACAAATGAAAATGACAATAAAACATCCACGCATTTTATCGAAAGTTATAAAAGTTTTGTTACTTGTAATATGTTTCATCTGCCCCCTGGAATTAATGTTTAGAACCTTGTTCCCAAGGTTTGAAAAACATCCGATTGTTGTCTATTACTCGTATTTACCTGCTGGATTTTTTAATCCGGTGGACAGTCCATCTAGAAAGGCCCTCCTGGATGAAGTTACAGAATCATCAACCCATACTTTACTTGAAGTGTGTCCTGCGTTTACCCACGTTTCATCAAGGTAATAAATCTTCCTGTTTTGATTTCTGTATTTCCCAATTTTTGTTAAATAATCCCTCCTCCATAGCACAATTTCTTCTCTATCCAGTAGTAAACTATTACGACCCCGTTTTTTCCATTTGAAATTTAAATGCTTCAGTAACGCATGGAAAGTTGATCGTTTGAAGTTTGGCAACGTTGTATCTCCATTTACCTCCTGCAGTACTTTATCTATAGTAGGTATTTCATTCCTAAAGAAGAATTCATGCACTTTCCTCCTAATCGCATGCTTATCAGCTTCATCCAATGATTTAACAATACTTTTGCGATGTTTACTGGTCATTGGCTCAGAAAAGGTGTGATTTTTTTGTATTGTCTTAACACATTAAACACTGATGCGCGACATACCCCAACATTGTGAGAAACCTTCACAACAATTTCTTTGATGGTTGATGCCTCGTTCTCCTCGCGCTCGATCTTATATATATTCAAAATGACCTCTTTCATTTCTGCACTCAGGTGTCTTTTTTTAGAGCGTTTCCTAGGTGGACTACAGGAGTTTACAACTTCATCGGCAGTATCTGTACTACTGGGCATTTTGCGCAAGCAGTTGATAACAATAACAATCAATAACAAGGTATAACAATAACAACGACAAACTCAACAACTTAATAAGATAACAAACGAAAACGTCCAAAGAAATATCAAATTGCAATGATGCACACGACATACGTAACACGTCTGAACCTGAATGTGACTCTGCCTTGATACGACTGCTCTGCCGCTCGGCATAGGCATTTAATTGCGAATTGACCAATGAGGGCTCCTGTTTTACGTCGAGACGGCGGCGTTAGCGTGAAAATCACCCGAACCTTTTGTTTACATCCGGTCTATCTCTTATCTGAAAATACTGTAAAATCAGTCAATCCAAAAGGAAACTGATATTTCTCTGAATGGTGCGCCTTAATATTTCAATATTTTGAAGTATTAAGTGCTGGCCTATTACCACAAAACATTGAGGCAAATCGCCAAGTCGTTGAAAAGCAGAGCTTTTTACCTGTAGTACCTATTGGGATGAAGAACCTACTTACATTCTACCTTTTTTATACATTTCCGTTGACCATTTCCACAGATAGGGGTTGTCTTATTTCCTGAAAAACCACAGCAAAACTTCAAATCGGAGTAACTCAATAATAGAATTTTTATTTTGCATGAAAGGTTGATCATTATAGTGCACCGTCTCTTCCCCGAGACTTCGTACGCTTGCAATTGTTACATAAACATTGTTTTTTTAAATAATGCTAGAACTTCCGATCGCGTTCTGTAACATAGTCGATATTCGTAAAAATCGACGTACCCTGGTGACGCTGATCAGTCGGACAGCCCTCCCCTGGACAGCATCGAGCATAAATAATCTAGTCGGGGCGGCAGCACCCCAAAGGTGTTAGCAATACTCGAGGCTAGGCCTTATCTGGGCCTCGTATAGACTGAGAAGGTCATGCGGAGAAAAGTACTTCTTAACCCTAAACAAATATCCTAGCTTTTTCCCAGCAGCTGCCGCTATTGACGAGATGAGTTCATGCCGGATCAGGTACTCGGTGATCTGGACTCCGATCAGCCGGAGCGAACGGCTCTTTGATAGAACTCGGCCATCCGTCGAAACTGTTCAAGATTGTTGCGTCCCCAAGTAGTGATAACCTCCAGGTCTCTTGTCAGACAGAAAGTCGTCTATGGCCTTCTTTTTGCCTCAATGATGGCTCCAATAAATAAAACAGCATTTCTCATACTTAACTGACACCTATCTAATTCTGCCACTAATTGTGGAGCTGTGAAATTTTTCCCCACTTGAGTTTGATTAATTTCAGACTGTGTGCTTTGAGCTGGGATGGGCAGTTTCTTGTAAATCTATATCGGAATCTGAAGATGAATTTTCTTGCACTGGGGCGCCACTTTTGTTCTTCGGTGATCCTAGGGCGCGCATTTTCTTCTTTTATGGCGAATTTCTTGTCCACCCCCTTTAATTTTTTTGGGACACCTTAATATATATGTTTCACTGTATTTTGATGTTGAATGGTCTGCGATTACAACTAGTTTTTGGGTGTTCAAATCATGCGTTTTGAAGGGTGAAAAACCAAAGTCAAAATTATAGGTTAGGACTGTGACAGGGAATATTTCATTCGCTTAGGAGGGCTAAACACGTTCGTTTGAATTCAGGAAACAAGGCCGCCTTGCAACTGCAAGTGATTGGAAGCAACAGACAAAACAATGCCATTTTGCAACTGTAAGGGCATGCATGCAATTGTCTTGCGCACTGTAAAACAGGTCTTAGAAGGAATAGAACTAGTTATTGAACCCAATACTCACTGGGCATGAAGAACTGTACACATTTACACATTTCCAAAGTATAATTTGTATAACATTCCAGTCGACAGTTGCTAGGTGTGTATTGCTTGAAGTACGTCAGGTATTTTTCGTTGGTGAAATAGCATTCTCTTGTATCAGGGTGGTACTTTCTCACTTTTTGAGAGGTCTTCATCATTTTTGGCTGCACTGCAGCCATTACGGAATCTCCGAATGATACTTGGAAAAACTGTTTGTTCAGTTGGGGCAAGACGTGAGGTGCATGCAGGGCAACCTGCAGTAAAACCAGTACCAATATTATTTACTAGATTAAACCCTCTAACGCGACGCAACATTCACACATCTTGGCGATTCTTCGCATGAGAAGTATGAATGCGACGAAGAAGTGAAAGGACGAACAGGCCGAGCAACGACATGCTTTTTAAAACTGAAAATCTGTTTTCTTTGCCACTGAACACCAGAATACGTATAACACAATGTTACATAGTATGGCCTACAGTACATGATACTAAAACCTGGTCACCCAAAGCCAAAACTATTAACAGGTTTGAGGCATATCACAAATGAAGAAGTGTTAAGAAGATGTGGTGTAGAAAGACAGCTGCTGGTAAGCTTCCTACTTGGGACATACAGGCTGTTCGAAAAATAGATGGACATATTTTAGAGGGTGATTCCTTGTTAAACAAATATAAAAAAAATTCTACATGAACATGAGTCCGGAAATGCAGTTTTCAAGATACAGGGTGATAAATTAAAAAAAAATTATTATCTTGAAGATATTTACTTGCTTCTATTGAAATTTGGCAATATTATTTCTTGTATTAAGAGGATAATTTAGCCTTATGTAGATTGAAATTATTAGGGCCAAGGGCCACGGGCACCTCAGCAAATATTATTGGAAAGAAAATGTACGTCGCTGCCTTTTTTTGTAACTATAATCTCAGTTGTTTGATTAAGCGTAAAAAAATACAGCTTCTACGCCTCTTGTATTTTTTTCGTATCTCACTTCGATTTCGATAAAAAAAATAAAAATCCGTTTTATTGCATGTCGCTGGAGAACATTTTTTCATTAATTTTTGCTAAAGAAGTCACAAGAGCATTGGAAAACAAAAAATCAAAAAAAATCTAGGAAAGAGTGTCATTGCAACTTTTTCAAAGTGTACCTTACAAAAAATTTTGGAAATGTCCACAACCCATGTCCGAACTCCTTCTCAATCGACGAAACGTTGAACGATGAACTCGAGCTACAATTCGAGGTCTGTTTCTTATTTCTTTGCAAGCATTTACGATTTTATTTTTTAACTCTTCTATTATTTCTATGGGGGTATCATGAAAACTCCAGATCCATGTTTATAAAACTTTTTTTCATATTTTAACAAGGAGCTATCCTTCAAAATACCTCCATCTATTTTTCGAATACCCTGTATATTAAGAGGAACCTGCTGCAAGATGCCTAAGAAGGTGTTACAAGGGAAAAGGAACTGATGTATACTCGATGCAGCAACCATTTTCCGACAAGCCGGGTTTTAATCAGTAAATGTACACATTTTTACATCTCTATGTATTGTGGTTCAGATGTGATACTGGCATTTATATACAGGGTGTAATGAAAGTTTGCCTTGGACTTTCCTTTTCAGAAGCTATTAGGTTGTAAATGACAAAGCTAATTTTCGGAAAAACAGCACCGAAAACGTCTAAAAAAAGTTGAATAAAAATAATTTGTATTTATTTGGTAAGGAATTTCATATACTGCCGTGACACATGTTTTGTTTGTAAATAGACCTGGAAATGCTCGCTGTTCGATTAAAAAAGACAAGCTTATTTTGTTTTCCTAAATCTCCGGTTGATGTCTACCGTGACCACCCAAACGCCTTTTGCACCATGTAAACAATCCTATGGAGCTCTGATGGTAACAACAAGGACGACATTATAACTACACTCGCGGAACTTAAGGCTGTCATCTTAAGGCTTTGGAAGATAGGTTTCTATGAAAAATTGCTTATTATTGCCTGACCTATATGCACTGTACAGGAATGTCGCAGTTTTGAGGACACCATGTATACAGGGCGTTTTCAAAGTTTAGCCATTCATTTTAACAGCTTGTAGAACTGGTCAAAAGTAGTTGATATACCTAAAATCACCTATATAAAAGTTGCATAAGAAGAGAATTAGTTCACATCATTAAAAATTATCAAGTTAAATGGATACCGTTTTTACAAACACTGTTCAAAATTGTCCCCAATTGTTCGATTAACGCAAAAGGCAACAAAGAACAAACAACGCTTTTTCGATGATACGTCAAGAGAGGGAGATAATTCAGAATACTTACGCTGAATCCTTGCAAGCTTTGTAAGCACATGTAATCCAACTCGCTAGCTGGTTGTTTAAATGTAATTTGCAGTCCATTCCCATATCCAGCCAGGTATGCGTTATACGGATAAGTTTTGAATGCATCAGTTACATTAGTATATCCTTTATCAATGTCCCAGTGCGGTGATTTTGCAGTTACATGATAGTTTTTAAAATGGAAGCTGTGGAAGCAATCAATGTTAGGGTCAATGCTGTTGCTGATTATTTTTGATCTACCTCTGCTAACTTTTCAAACTCGGCGGTGATTTTTAATAAACAAAAGAGAAACGACGATGACACATTCCTTAAGGGAAACCGGTTTCGGTGAATTCTCTGCATAACCAAGGAGTATATTCCTTTCATTTTCTACGAGACTGGGCAAGGAAGTGTACAGGGTGGCCAACTGAGAATGCGAGATACTGTATCTGGAAGCATATCCATCGTAGAGGCTTGCGGCAAAAAAAGGTTCTGGAATCTGGAAAATATTTTCAAGTTCTTCAATCTAAAAAAGTAGTGTTTCTGTGAATTGCGCCATATTAACCTAACAAAATATATAATACCGGACCTTTAAAGTCGAGGATAATGTCAACTTTTTTGATGTATCTCTAAAAACAAAGTGGTGGGGGTATTTAAATATTTTCGAAAAAAACACCCTGTATCTTCGAAACGGCTAGGCGGATTCTAACACACCTGGGCTAGTTGAATGAAGCTATCCTTGGGCTACCAATGTTATAATATTTGAAGTTTTGTTAGCTTCAGATGCGGCCGCTAGAGGTCTTTTCGAGATTGCGACAGAAACGGTCAATTTTCTCAAAAAAATTAAATGCATTGGTATGACTTTTTTATGAAAAAGTAGCTAAATGATGTCTAAACAAGCTCGCAAAAACCACAGCTCGGTTTACTTATTCCAAACCAAAAATTTAGGCCAAAGAAAATCTTATACGGACTTAAATTTTTACTCTTTTGAACTTACTTTTCAGGAATTCTTCTTTATTCATCAGATTAAAATCTCCATTTTTGAAAATATTACAAAATATTGCAAAAGGTACGTAGGTGATGCTTATAACAAAAGGCATATGTTTTGTTTAAATTCATATGTACTATGGGTATATATGAAAAAAACAATTAATAAAAGCGGGCGAGGGAATACAACAAAACAAACACCTATAATCAAAACATAAATGATCCTCAAATTGTCAATAGTTGTTAATAGTTTCGGGTTACTTTGAGCAATATTTGTGGTTACCAAATGCGTCTTACGAATGGTGAAGCTGTTGATATGTTTGCACTTTATTTTGAATGTCTTCAGAATGCCGCAGTAGCAAAAGAAGTTTACGCGACTCGATATCCAAATCAGAGTCTTTGCGATGTGAGAGTTTTTACCCGATTAGTGGCGAGCTTATGAGTTAATGGTAGTTTTCGGTCTACAATTGGAAGATCACAGGAAAATATTAACCGCGTATTGGGACTTATTGAAGGAAATCCTCATATTAGTAAAAGGGTACTATCACTTGAGTTCGTCATATCCCTAAAAATGGTTCAAACCATAGGCAAGTTCTAATGGCCATCAAAATATAGGGATTTATTTGTTCAACTTTTTTTTTAATTACTTATAGAATGCACCGCCCTCCTCTGGACAGCATCGAGCATGGAAAATGTCGTCCCCAAGCAGTGATAGCCTCCAGGTCTCTCATCAGAGACGAACTCGTCGCTAGTCTTCTTTTTTCCAGCTCAGCGGCAGAGATCGTCCAGGAAATGAGGTCGCTGATATGTAAGAGAAACAGTATTGGAGCCAAGACCGATCCCTGGGGAACACCAGCGTTGAGGTTGTGGGATGAAGATGTGAACCCGTCAATTACGACGGATATCTGGCGGCCAGAGATAAAGTCAAGGGCAGCGTGCCACAGCTGATCGAACGCTTTTGTGATGTCAAGAACAACGATATGAGCCTCACCATAAGACTGGATGAGTTTACTCCACAATTGCGTGACAGAAGCTAGGAGGTCCCCTGTGGATCGTTGGTGCCGGAAACCATACTACCTGTCGCTAATCAAGCTGTGACGTTCTAGGTAGTCCAGAAGCTCGCGATTTATGCACCTCTCCATCACCTTTCTTATAACAGAAAGCAGAGCTATAGGCCTGTAGTTGTAAGGGTCGGTTTTAGATCCTTGTTTTGGGGTGGGTTGGACATGAGCAAATTTCCAGTTTTCTGGGAAGGTACCGGATGCATAAGATATCTGGAAGAGATGCCAAAAAACTGGAGCAAGCTCCGCTGCACACCTCTTCAGTACAATGGCAGGAATTAAGTCCAGACCAGAAGCCTTGTTGATGTCGAGAGACCAGAGCACTAGTCTTACGGTGTTACGCCTGAATGTTACCTCCCGCATAGTGTAGGGAACCCTTTGAATTGACGGCACTTGGGCGTTGGGGGGGACGTCCGTGGTGGTGTTGGCAGCAAGGGTCTTGGCTAGCACTTCCGCCTTGGCATTTGAGTCGAATACAATACTTCCATCCTGACACGTAAGTGGTGGAAGGCTACTGTGTGAGAGGTTCTTTTTAATCTGCTTGGCCAGCGTCCAGAAAGACCGACTACCATTGCGCTGCGACATTACCCTGTGCCTAACTTTTATATCGTGATGGTTTTTGGCATTGCGAACCGCTTCGTTATATTTGTTTCTGGACTCGTCGCAGGCAGGTCTGTTCTTTACAGTGGGGTTTTGTAAGAAGGTTCTGTGTGCCTTGATCTTCTGCTGGCGAGCAGGGTCACACGATTTGTTAAGCCAGCCGTTGGACCCTGGCTTAGGCACTTTCACTGTGTGAGGGATGTATTCCTCCATTCCGACGTGGATAATTTCTGTTATCAAATAACAGACAGCCGACGCATCCGCGTCAGTGAAACAGACATCTCTCCAAGGAAAGCTAGAGAAGAAGTCTCTGAGCCCCTCCCAGTCGGCATGTCCGTAATGCCAAGTTTTGCGGCCTGTACGAGTTTCTGCTGCCACAGCGGGTTCGGACCGAAACCTAACCTCTACAACACCGTGGTCTGAGTTACCCAGGAGAGACAATACAGCCGTGCTGTAAGGACAGGATGCGTGGTCAGAAAGAGATCCAGCAGGCTGCTGGCATGTGACGAGACGCGGGGAAAAAAGTAGGGCTCGTCACCAGCTGGGTCAGCCCTTGAGTAACAGCGAACGCTCCGACTGCCCGACCTGCTGCATCGGTCTTGTGAGCCCAACCAAAGCTCATTATGGGCATTGAAATCACCGAGAAGAACTACCTCTGAAGCGGGGTGATTGATGTTCAGGAAGTCAATCTGGATGGCGAGGTATTCGAATAGGTCATGCCAGTTATGGTCCGAGGGAGAGCCATAAAGGCAGCAAATAAATTTGGGTGATGGTTTGGAGTTGTGGCGAAGCCACAGAAGAAACACCTCTGGAGCAGGAAAGACCGCTGCGGACAAAAGCCACAACTCCCCCATTTTTTCTCAGATTGGAGTGCACCTCGTAGTTTGGGAAGTTGAGATGGTTAATCGGTGAAGACTCTGAGATTTTTGTCTCCGCCAAGAAAAGCACGGCGGGACGATTGGAATCACGCGATCACCAGACTTATCTTGTCTTGATTTTTATTTACTGGGACGTTCAAAGGACATCGTGTTTCAGACTCAACCTAAAACTAGAGAAGATATGAAAAACCGGATTCGTAATGCAATGCGTAACATACCGCGAGCCAAAATTAAAGCAGCAGTTTTGTCTATCCATGAGGCTTCAGGAATGCATACCGCGTGATGGTCAGCGTTTCGAGCATTTATGGAGGCACTAAAAACCTTTATTTCTTTAGTCGATCCTTTTTGGGGCCACAACTTAATAATATGAAGAAATTAAAGAAAAATTATTTTAAGAAAACAATAATTCAAGTGATTTCCGTATAAAATTTTCTTTGGCCTAAATTTTAAGTTAGAAATAATATATCGAAGTTCGAGTACCGCGGTTTCGCGAGCATCATTTAGCTACTTTTTCATGAAAATATCATATCTACCAAAATTAACCATTTATGTCAGAATGTCGAAAAAAGCCCTCAAGTGACCACATGTGAAACTAACGGAACTTCAATTATCATCACATTTGTAGCCCAGGAATAGCTCCTTCCAACTGGATCAAGTTTGTTAAGATCGACTAAGCCGTTTCGAAGACACAGGGTGTTTTTTACACAAACCTTTGAATACCCCCCATCACTTTATTTTTAGAGATACAGCAAAAATTGTCAAACAAAAAATATTCAGGTTAACATCGAATTTAAAAATCAGGTACTCTTTTATTAGATTAATATAGCGGAATTTACAGAAACATTACTGTTTTAGATTCGAGATTGCAGGTTCGCTCCCTAACGGCCACCTCAGAAACATGAAAATCTTTTCCAGGTTTTCCTCTCAAGCATTTTAGTAATAACTCCACTACGATGGATAGCTTCCAAGATACAGTACCTCATATTCTTAGTTTGATACCCTGTACTACATCACCAAAAACCATGTCGCTCATTTCCGTCGGTCTGTCTGTTTGTCTGTCTATAACTTGGAAAGTACTGGTTGACTTTGGATAAAATTTTTACAAAAGCTTACTACCATGCCAAGAACAAAAAAGCTTTGTTGTTTTCGAGAATCCGGGGAACTACTGTTTGCATTTTACGCGCATTCAGGAGTATCTATACTAAGTGAGATATAAATCCGAACACCCAGTTTAAATGGTTTTATTTTAATAAAAATTGGTGAATGTATTTATCTTACTGTAAATAACAAGTGAAAAAATGTTCAGCCTTATCAGTTGGTCATTCCGGTTTTTATACTGCTTTTTTTTAATTCACTAACTCTCTAAAAATGAATATTTCAGCCGCAGTAAAGAATCAACATTGGCGGATTTTGGTTCTTGACATCCTTTACGATCGGTTACGATGCCTAGAGTGCGGAGACCTGTACGATTTCGTCAACTTAGTGAGTTTGATAGGGGCCGTATAGTGGGACTTCGGGAAGCTGGACTTTCTTTTCGGGCAATTGCAGTTAGAATGCAAAGAAGTGTAGATACTGTGGTTAGGTGTTGTCAGGCATGGCTTCGAGAAGGCCGTACGCAAAGAGCAAGGGGCACTGGACGCCGCCGTAGAAAAACAGACCGTAAAGATCGCCGCCTAAGATTATTGGCCTTAAGGAACCGTTTCTCCACTACCAGGTCCATTGCAAATGAATGGTTTGCAGAACACGGAAGACCTATTGGCAAGTGTTTACCGAGGAATGAGAAGTTTTGGCTTGTTTTCATACCGGCCACACTGGGTCCTCCCTTTAACTCGAGAACACCGACGTAATCGCCTTGAGTGGTGCAGACAACGGTCACTCTGGGATCAGGAATGGAACAGTATTGTCTTTAGTGACGAGTCTCGATTTTGTTTAGGCATGCACGATGGTCGTGCCAGGGTTAGAAGGCGACGTGGTGAAAGGAGGAATCCACAGTTTTTTTTGAAAGACATGTTCATCACACTGTTGGAGTTATGGTTTGGGGTGCTATAGCTTATAGTTCCAGGTCACCTTTAATCTTCATCAGAGGTAACATGAACGCGCAGCGTTATATCCACAAGGTTCTAGAACCCCATCTTTTACCCTATCTTGACACCCTGGCAGATCCAACTTTCTAACAAGATAATGCCCGACCACATGTTGCAAGAGTCACAATAGACTTCTTTCAACATAATGATGTCACATTGTTACCATGGCCACCAAGATCTCCCGACTTATCCCCAATTGAGCACGTGTGGGATATGATGGGTAGGAGATTGCTCAATTTGCAACGTCCACCTCAGACTCTAGAAGCACTTCGAGAGGAGTTGGTGGTTGCCTGGAATGAGATACCACAGGAGGACATTGACCACCTGATCAGAAGCATGCCTAGGCCCGTTGGAGAATGCGTAGCACATCAGGGTGCATCCATCCTCACATTATTAAAGGTCAAAGGGCTTTAAAGCAGTGCAATCATTTTGAAATTTTTATCATTTACTTATTATGCTTCATTAAGTACTTATACAAAATTTTATTAAAATAAAACCATTTAAACTGGGTGTTCGGATTTATATGTCACTTAGTATATTATGTAGTGTAAAAATTGTTGCAGCCGTGTCATTGATTTAAAAAAAATATAAGCCCGGCGGTGTTGTCATATTGGCCCGCATCCCCGATGCAACACTGATGCTATGTGAAAAATGACTGGGAAATGCTTTTTATAGATTTTCCAAAAATGTAACAAAACCCATCCAACGACCCTAACCAAAACCCAAGCGGTTTGGGCTTTAGTTTTGGTTTATAAGCTTTGGTTCAGACTTTGTTTTGTCCATCTTGGCATCGGTTTTGATTCAGCCTTTGAGTTTTAGTTTCGGCTCTGATTTGGGTTTTGGTTTAGACTTTGGTCTGCCCCATGCCAAACACCATATAATAAATGTTTAAAATGGCCATGTGCGGCAAAGGATGTCAAAGATACTTTCCGTCGTTTATATTTTTCCATCGTGCGATGTAATTTCAACAACCTATTGTTCCGTGATCATATGAAAACATGCTTTTTTGTGAAAAAGTTGCTTCGAGCACAAACAAATTATCTTTCAAATTACATAATAGATAGAGGCTTATACATATCTAAAAAATGAAAGTATCACCATTTTTCTGGGAATGTCATATTTACCGGCACCGTCACTTTAATTGAAACAAATGTCTTGCTAAATTTATCTTATTATTTTTGTATTGTATTTTCTGATAAATACGAAGGGCTGTAACTATCACTTACACTTTATCCTGAAATATGTCGGTCCGGTCCAGCATATTGAAGGTGTAACAGACACTTTCATCTAGAATTATTGGTTGGAACATTTTTTGACATGACACATCTGCATCAACCAGAAATTGACAACCATCGGTATACTCACTAATATTAAGCTTCATCTACAATCAAAGATTATTTGGGTGGGCTATAAGCATGAAGTGATCATTGCATTCAGGGAAGGAAAGCGCTCAATTCTAGTGTTCACTTACTCAAATAGTTGGCAATATAAAGCACTACAGCCCTATAATCCCAGTGTTTGAACATGGTACTTAGAAACTATCCACACCATATCGGACTCATTTATTTATAGGGATGAGATAGTCTTACCTACCTGATCAATTTTTTCATAAAAGTCATCGGCGTTAAAGGTATTGTTTGGTCGAAAATATTTTTGTCCGTAGTAACATACCAGAGACAAGTATTGTCCATAAAGCTGTCTAAAATCAGAACAATATATAGATGTTAAAAATCATGCTGTATTTACTGCAGGAAAATCCATATTACTTTTTTCAGTAAGTCTATCAGAAGCGACACCAGGACGAGGTTGACACGAGCCTAATCCAAAGAAAACGCCAAATAAATATCGAACTATATTTTCAGCCTAGTTAAAAAACCCTATCAGTAGCAAGATCAAAAAGCAAAATACCATAATATTCAAAATTCCGGAAACGGTGTTAATATCCCGGAAACTGGTGTACACAGACGATAGTATGGGCATTGCTGCTAGATTTTCACTGTCTCGGAAACAGCTCTACATTCATAAATTTGAATGCTATCGTATATTGTTTATTGTCTTATAACCTACAAATATTTGGAGTCTTTTAAGTCTACCTAGGAGCATATGGTATCACAGTACTAAGTCATTATCTGTAAAATTTTATCCAGAAACATAACGTGACCATTCCTCCTTTTTGTTTGAAAATAATCCAACTTCTTACATTAAAGTGTAATCGTATCTTTTCAATTAGCGTATCTTAACCCTACATTGCCACCCGTAAGTAGCTAAACTTCAATTAGACGAGACTAGATAGAAAACAATGTGAAAAAAAAGTTTAGCAGATATCTGAAAGTTTTAAACAGATGATGACAAAATCACTGTTGTTGTTGTTTTTATAAACTATGGGAAAAGCCCAAAACTCAGTATTTTGCTTGTATAATTTTAGAATCAAATTTTATGAATGATCAATAAACAGGAGATTTTAGAGCATAAAAAGAGCTTGAATTTTGCTTTTTAAGAATTAAAATAAGTACAAGGCTTTCTAGCAGTATTGAACAAATTCTTATAACTATTGCAGTAACATTGTGAGTTGCTAAAAATGTGAGAATGAGGGCGTCATTGGTGCTGATACGTGTGTTAAACTTCAGCCGGATCGATTCAGTAGTTTATGTAAAAAGCTAATAGTTTACCCCAGAGACGAATCATTTAAACAACTAGTTGTTGCCCAAGATATGATTCCCAAAAAAAGGAAATTGATTCTTGGAGGTTTTAACTTCAACGATTTATGAAACACATTAATCATTTATTTCAAAATTGTTATTATAAATGATGTTAAATAAATAGTCATTTTTATAGTTATAAACATTTACAATAACAATCTATTTTAGTAAGTTGATCCGGATAGGTGATTGCAAAACGCATATTTAAAAAACCTCCTACGACCAAATTCATATCTCCTCTGTTTATAAACGTTGAGACTCGAAAATTTTACAGATTTCAATCAAGGCTCTTAATTTTATGATCCAAATTATAATTTTACTATTAGTTCGAATGTATTTAAGAAATATCCACCTAAAGTGAAGGTACTCGCGTGTTTCCGGATGAGGTGGTGGGGGAATCAGCTCTAGCTCGATTTATTTTTTGAAATTGAGTCTTCAAATCAAATCGGAGTGCGTTGTGAAATCTTGCATTATCTCGGCCTTTAAGCAACGTAGAACCTTCTTTTTTTCAATTTGAGGTGATTCGTCGAAATTATGACATCTGGCACATTTTCATTTTCCTGGAAGCTTGGGAAATTCTGGAAAACTTTACACGTTGTATTCTTCAAAATTAAATTACTATGAGATTATAATAAATTTACTATAAATCGTTTACTTTTACTCTCACTTTAATAAAATAGTTTATATTTTACAATCAATTGTCTAAGAAATTCTTAGTCCAGTTAATGGGTATACTATTAACAAAGTACACTCTAATAAATTGTAAAAAAATATTGATTCACCTTTGTCTTTCATTTCTGCATTTGCTTTGTTATAATAATTTATTTATTCCAATTAAATCGTTCGAACACAGTCTAGCAAAAATACAAATAAACGTAAATAATTCATTTACTTTCATTTCAAATGTCTATAATACATACGTGTATGTTTATTTTAGAATGTATTTATGTGTTACTTCGAGTCTTAATGTTCATAAACAAAGGAGATTTGAAATTAAAAAAAATTATCTTGACTCAAATATGCGTTTTTTAGCCACATATCCAGATGAACTTGTTAAAATAAATTATATTGAAAAAGTTATTGTAAATGTTTATAACCATAAAAATGGCTATTTTTGTCATCATTTTCAACAACAAGTTTGAAATAAATAATTAATTTTTTGCATGAGTTCTTGAAGTTGAAACCTTCAAGAATCCATTTCACCTTTATAAAATATTCTAGGACCATATCTTCTGTAAGAGTAGTTGTTTGAATAATTTGTCTCTGGGATAATCAATTAGCTTTTTTCATAAGCTATCAAACCGATCCGGCTGACATTCGGCACACCTATTAATACCAACGATGCTCACATTCTTACAAATTTTCAGAAATTTACAATTGTTATTGCAACAGTTAGAAACATTAATTCAATATTGCCCGGAGTTTTTAATTGTTCATCGATCTTAATTCTCGGAAGAGCTGAAGGTCTCTTCATGCTGTAAAATCTCAAGTTTGCCGATTATTTATAAAATTTAAAAAAAACAACGCATATCTGGCTGTATCTTTTATGTATTTGTTATTAGAAATACCCCTGCTTTCATTTTGAACTTGCAGATATCTGCTAAACTTTTTTACACGAGATAACTATTTTTTTCTCTGTAGCCTGGGCTAAATAATATGCTTAGACATGTATACGTATAACAACGTAGAAATAGCGTTGTTCCTGAAAAAAGTGGAAAATCTGACAGCAGTGTGATCTCATCCATCTGATGCGAAAAGGCTAGTTGTCATTTGTCAGACTTTTGGTAAATTTTTTGTATACGATTTTTCCGATCAGCGCATGCGCAAAAGCCAGTGTTCTCAGTAAACAACAACTTGAGAGAAAGGAAAATATTGCTAAACATTTTCCCCATCAATTTTCAAGATGTTCCATAATTTTTCACCCTTTATATTACGCTGTCATATCTTTATAAGTAGGCTAAATGGAGCCCTGAAATTTGGATGCTTGGCCGCAGTATAATACAAAGAGAGAAAAGAAACTACTGCATTTAAACTTAAAAAGTAGTCTTGTTGGATATTATATAAGTTCTTCCCGAAAAATTGGAACGCTTCCAAACCTTTGACAGCGTTGTCCTATCTATATAAATAGGCTAGAAGGAATTTTGTTATTTGAGATTGATATTTAGGGAACATGTACGCCATTGTATTTAAGCTTAAACAAGTACAGCTGTCCTGGAAAAATTTGGCGCCAGTGCAGTTATTACTACCTGAAAAGAAACGATCGTATACTCGTACTTGTTTAGAAATTGATGAATATCCATACACTATTACTCAAGATATTTTAACGTGTTCAGACTATTAAGTGTTTCGGTTTAGGGTAATATAGTTTTCACTATTTTCACTGACAGCTACACGTGTCTTTGAATTACTGCTTACTAGCTTGACGTTCCGGCCACCGTGGTGCCCTTTTCCAATTAAAAACAGTAAATTAATATCTATAACTGTTTTCACTGAAGGACGACGTTTATGTCGCTTCTTATATCTATAAAATGTAGCTAAGTGGCAAAGCATTGAATCCATTTCCACGATTATATTTTTTCCTTTAAGCTCCCGTAAGAGATCAACTAGTTAAATTATAGTTCTAACCATTAATCGTATAATGTGCTCAAGTCACTTACTCTTCATCAGTTATATTTTTTTCATCCATGATATCATAAACGACTCTGGTGAAATTAAAAACAGACTTTCTCACTTTTGTCATGGGACAAACAGTGACAGCTGGAAACGGGATGGCATGCAGCGGAGACTCCTTGGTTGCAAAGCTTACTATTACTGGGCTTGTGACGTATTTGTAGTATATCCTGATGATCCAAAATCCACAAGCGGCTATTGACAGCGAAATAAGGAGGAACCAAATAATCCTAAAAGAGAATTCAACTCAATTCCTCAGATCACAAATGGAAATAATGACCTTGATTAGAAAACATGGAAATACGATTTTTCTTATATAGATCTAGGTATCTACTTAACACGTTGACTGCTATACCGGTCTCCCGAGACCGATATCAAACTTCATTTTGATGCGGAGCTGTTTTCTTCAAATTTTCGTTTTGGTGCGGAATGCATATTTATAGTTATAAATGCGAGACATGTAGCTATAAGATCTAGAGCAGTGCCCACAACTCCTAGTACACAAGCAAATATACCTGAAAATAAAATTGAAATTGTTGAAGCCGAGTCATCAGACGACGGAGAACAAACAAATAATCCTGGAACAAGTTATGTTATAAGTGGAGACTAATTTTCCGACTTTGGGAGTGATGATTCTATCACAGATAAAGACTATTATATATCTTCATCAGATTCTGATGAAAATCCACATAATTTGTTTGATGATACAATCGAAGGTATATATTTCTAACAAAATGCCTGTTTCTGTTAAAATTTCCTGTCTTTTATTTTTCATCTAGGTAGTGCCGCCGAGGCCGATGATTCAGATTCAGATACAGCTATTGATAGTGAAGCTTATGACACCATAGATAATGAAAATAGAAAGATGCCGTCTTTTTTTTATACTAATAATTGGCAAGACATTGTTCAAGGGCAGTTAACTTTCAACATCTGTAATGAGTCGCCTGAACTTAATTTTGACGTGAGTCAGACTCGAAGTCCACTGGATGCCTACAAACTTTTTGTGATAGATGAACTTTGGCACATCATTGTTGAAGAGACGAACAGATTCGCCCAACAAAGCTTAGCAGGACGTAGGAATTCGAAGTCTAGGTTACATGTTTGGGTGGACACAGATAAAAACGAGCTGATGCGTTTTTTCTCAGTTAGTCTAGTAATGGGTTTTAACTCGCTTCCGTCAGTTAACTCCTACTGGTCAAAAGATCCTAGGTTCAGGAATGAGCTTATAGCAAAGACAATATCACGTGATTTCTCCTTTTACTTCGATGTTTACATTTTTGCAACAAGAAGGCCCATTATTGTATACTAACGACCGGTTGTACAAAATCAGGACAGTATTGGAAGTACTTAACAGGAACTTTCAAAATGTTCAAAAGTTATTATATATACAGGAAAAAATGAAAAGGTTAAAGGCCAACAGCATTCAGAAACGATGGTTTTAGAACTGCTAAAGTCCATAAAAGCTAAAGAAGGACCATTATCTTTTTGCAGATAATTTTTACAGCAGCTCGCCTTTAGCTAAAAAAACTATTTGATGAAAAAATTTTCCACTGCGGAACACTACGTGCAAATAGGAAAGGAATCCCAAAATCTTTCCAAAAAAAGTTGATAAAGGGAAAGACGTATGGTCAACAAAGTGGATTCGTTAAAATTATAAAATGGGTTGATAAACGGCCAGTTTTAATGCTGACTACAGATCCTACTCATGTCAGCACTGTCCAAGAAACTGGAAAAAATCAAGAAAGGGTGAAGACATTCTAAACCCAAGTGTGTTACAGATTATAACAAAGCTAGGAAAGGAGTTGATTATAGTGACCAGATGTCTTCATATCACTCTGTTCTACGTCGAGGCCTGAAATGGTACAGGAAAGTTATGAATGAATTTCTATTTGGAACATGTATCGTAAATGCCTGGATTATTTTCAACCGCATTTCAAAGAAGAAAATGTCGATAACCGAATTTAGAAAAACTTTAGCAGAACAGTTAAGATATCCTCCTACAGTTATTTCTGAACCAACAACGCGTAAAAGGATATACATTTTCAGAAATCCAACTGGCCCAGGAAGAAAAAAAAGAAAGATTTGTAAAGGATGCTACCAAAATCTTCGGACAGCATTATCAAGCCGTGAAGCCAATAAAAAAGTCACCAAAGTAACGAGTTTTTGTGAAGATTGTCCTGGAAAACCTCGCATGTGTCTTCCTTGCTTTAATAAATTACACACATAATGGAAACCTTTTCTTGGCTTATATCTTTGAATCATATTGTATGGTTTTAGTGGCAAAATATCAAAATTTAAAATAAAATGTGTTCTTTTTATGCTTAAAATAAATCTAGCCATTGATGCGGTATAAGTCGTCAGCGACCTATACGGAGCCAGACTTACGTTCACCTAGAGTATATTTACAGATGTCTGCAATAGTTTTCTGATTCTGGTTTGAACACAAAACGTTAGAGGGCTCTAAAGACTTGCCTATCGGACTCGGAAGAATGATACCGTGTCAGAATAATAGCATGCTATCGGTCCCGGGCGACTTATATCGCATTGAAGATATAGTGCCATTTCTTTGCAACGCAGTCAACGTGTTAAAAGATGCTCTACAACCAAAGGAGTTTCAAAGTTTCTCTTGTACGAATATATATCCCTTATATTAACGGTTTTTATCAAATGAAGATGATTAGGTTCTTGGATCTGAGAGAACGTGGTATACAGTTTAAAAAAATTGATACATAAACATAATTAAAAAAATGGCATTTACCTTTCACATACTGTCCGATTCTCTGCAAGGTACTTGAAACCATGGATACTTGTATTTTCACAGTACTCTCTAAAATACCTTTTGGCACCATTTAAATGAAATTTTGCTTGTCTCTTTCTGACATTTTTATCTTGCCTATTACTTTGCGAAGTTGGATCTTTGAGGTCTTGGTCAGAAAGCTCGACTCCATTTGATATCGCATAAGGCATTATGGAGTGATTCATATGTGAGTTGATAGCGTGAACTGTACAAGCTATTAGCATAGTAATGGTGCTTATGGGTATTTCTATTCGCACCTTAACCGTGTTTAACATGAGGGTATTGTCCCCTAGAGGATAGGGCTATATTTTGAAATTATCTTTTAATTGTCATCTAGGTGCAAAATGTACTAATTGCTTAACTACAAAAAGTGAATTGCATTTTCTGGGTGGGTTATAGCTGGTCGCGTCCAGCGTGATAAATGACATCAATGAATAGCTCCTCGTCATGAGGGCTCTAAATTACATAAAACTGCATAATAGCGATACTAGGAAACTCGTTAAACTGCTCTGAAACTTTTGTCATATTGTGTCATATGCGTGCCAAAAATTATTTTTTTTATACGAGATGTAAACGAAACATAGTTAGATACTACTAGTTTAAAAAATTGTACAACCTAAGATTCGTACAGATAAAAATACGCAAGTTCTGCCAGAAATAAGAGAGAAAATCCAGTAAACAATCTGAGAAGGCCTCCAAAGTTAGCCAAGAAATCAGTTAGTCCATATAATTCATTTCTCTCTAGTGACAACATGAATCCTTCTCTGAAAAATACCGACAACATACAAATACCTGAAACAATTATATTATTGTTAACGTTAATAAAGTTCACAATAATTTCATGTTGTTCTCTGTCAAATGAGCCGTTCGTGATTATGAATAAGTCAAATAGTCACGTTGAGGACTACACATTTTCTTAATGTGACAGCTATTGTGCTTATATCCCAGCCGCACGCCCATGTGGGCTCCGGGGTCCGGCTGGCGTACGCACCACTTCATTTTGTACGCTAATAGCGTGCTCCTCAGCGTGCTTTCTTGTTTCATCGCGAGCACTCAGTGGAGCATCCGCTAGCGAATACTCGAATTTCAAGTGCAATAGTGGAACAGTAAGTATCCTATTGTTATTTTATATTGTGTGGCTAATACATTTTTATGTCATATCCGATAGGTAAATATATTTAGCTACTCACTACGGACATTCAGCACTGTCTAACGCATAAGCCGCCAAGCGCCCCACTCGCGCAGTTCCTCGGGAGACTTCCTAGTGTCGATGCGCTTACACGTATAGTTCGAACAGCCTAAGGTTATGCCCGCTACGTCATCACTTTATACCCTCTCCCTTGCGTGGATTGTACCCTATAAGAATATAGAAAATTGTTGTGACAGTCTCTGGTAAGATTTATGGACATCTGTTACCGCCCTCTTAATGTGGTCCAGTACTAATCGTGGCGAATATTTATATCGTAGAAAGCTTAAAAATGTATGTGGTCTTCAATGTCCAGAAATTATGTTGCTGTTGACGCTGTTAAGGGACATCCCACTCTCAGAAAGCCATAGGCGGAACGTTTTTTAGTGCAAGTTTCAGTCAGTTGAGATTGTTGACACAATTGGGATCTGATGAGACGTTTCTTCGACTTATTTATTTTTTTATTTATTAACCATATCATATTTTATATTTGATTGTGTTGAAAATTATTAATCTTATGGGGTTTGTGGATATTTGATGGAGATCCATAAATCAAAATTTAAAATAGTGAACAGGTACCTACATATAATAGACACAATATTGAAGGGTAAAACCCCAAAGTTGGCAAACAACTGAAAGAAATTAAATTAATCCTAAGACTGTGATCCGCTTATATCTATACCAATCATGAGATTTCCTAGAGTGCATCATTAGTACCTAGATAAATAGGCTAATACCAATATCAAGCGTAGGTAAACAAAATTAGTAGAAACAAATCTAATAATAACAAGTGTAAAATTGAACTACCTGGAATAATTCCCGGTTGCTAAATCCCTTCGTTCGTAAGTAGCGTTAAGAGGATGAGTGTTAATAAATCACATTTATTTTACCTGCAACAGATATATAAACCTGTCCGTTAGTCATAAGTTCAGTTTGTAAACTAATTTGAACAAGGCACCGTGTGTAAAAATTGTCAAATAGATTGCAATATAGTGGAAATTTTTACTATTGATCAAATTTAAATTATTAATAGTTTTGAACCAGTGATCTAAACAATGTCTGTGAAAGAGATTGGCGTGAAAGGAAAGGCGATTGGGAGTCAAGGAAAGGAAATTATCAACAATGTCAATAATTTCATGGTACAGGAAAGTGTAGAGGGATTAAAGTTTCCACTTCAACAATACCGGTATGTATGAATGTAAAAGATTTTTATAATTATTGTCAATTAAAACTGATTAACCCATTTAGGAAACGTGTGTTAGCTGCCACGGGTATAAGTAAATGTACTTATCAAAAAATAGCTAAAGAGAGCAGAGATGGAATATATTCAAGCAACTTTTCATTTTCATCCCCATCTAAAAAGCGGCAACGAAAATCACCTGTTGTGGATAAAGTGACTGCAGGCCAAATTGAAGAAATCAAAGCAATCATATACGATTTTTATATTTTGGAGAAAAGAAGACCTTCGCTGAAATGTAAGTTTTAAAATTGTAACCGTAGCATCTAGTCATATTTCATTTTAAGATTTTTTTAGGTATTTACCAAAAAATGCAAGATCGACAACTTAATTTTGAGGGTAAAATAACGACTTTGAACAAACTTTTGAAACAAATGGGCTTTAGGTCAGTATTCATACACACTATAAGGTTTTCGATTTACAACGCTATAAATATAATTTATATCTACAGATGGAAAAGAACTACTGATAATAAAAGAGCTCTCATGGAAAAATATGAAATTCGCTTGAAGCGAATCGAATATCTGAAGCAAATTATGAAATATAGAGCTGAGAACAGGAACATAATTTATACGGATGAAACATATATACATTCTAGTCATACCCCAAAAAAAGGATGGTCAGATGACAATTATGACAAGGAACTAAAAACGCCTTTATCAAAAGGACAACGAATGATTATTGTGCATGCTGGTGGAGAATTCGGCTTTATTCCTAACGCCTTGTTGATATTCAAATCAGGTATTATTTGTGTTACAATGATGTAAAATATTTCCAATATATTTTTACATTTACTGGATTATATGTATGTATTTTATTTTCAGGCTCAAAATCTGGGGACTACCACAACGACATGAATCATTTGAACTTCATGAAATGGGTAGAAAGCCAATTGATCCCAAATTTGCCTGAAAATTCTGTGCTTGTAGTTGACAACGCTTCTTATCACAATGTCCTGGAAGAAAAAAATGTAACGTCTTCTAGCCTGAAATCAGAGATGATTGACTGGCTAGAAAAACATCAAATTCCTAGTGAAAAGTCATTGACTAAGGCCGAACTATATAAAAAAATACAGGAAAATAAAAGAAGATTTCCAGTCAAATACAAGCTAGATGCCTTAATGGAACAGCACGGGCATAAAGTTTTACGACTGCCTCCATATCATCCGGAGCTAAACCCAATCGAGAAGATTTGGGCTCTCGTAAAAAACTGGGTTGCTCCACGAAATGTGACATTTAGGTTGTCTGATGTGGAGCATCTGACCCGTAGCAGGTTTGAAGAAATTGGAGCAGATGAGTGGAAGAAAATTTGTAACCACGTGAAAAAATATGAGCAAGCACAAATGGAAAAAGAACATCTTCTCGACGATCAAATGGATACGTATCAATTCAATGTGAACACAGAGTCATCATCAGAAGATAGTGACGAAAGCGACTCAGATGAAGATTTGAAGCTAAACACACTATCATCTGATAGCGATTAGATTTTTTAATGATAATATATAATTTGAATTATAACCGTCTTTAGTTTGCTCCCTCTTCTAATTCAAATTTGCTTCCGAACAACTTAATGCGCATACTAAATGAATATAATAATACAAAAATCAATTAATGATCAATGTCTACACAACCTATTCACTTTATTTTATACTTCAAATAAAATAGAACGCCACTGCGCTCTGTCGACGACCGCGTGATGAGCGGACCCGCCCACGATGACGTAGCGGTCATATACTAAGAGCGTTCGAACCATAACTATAGTGTATTTACACCCAAGATAGAATGGATGCGTGATCGCCAAAAGCAAGGACGGCGTACAGGGCCGCAATCAGGGCTACCTCCGAATGATGGACTACCACCAACGTGTTGTAAAACAAATATGACAGTATTTAACAGAAACTTAACAAATTACTCAAATACACTTAACAACAACAACAGCAACAACCAAGCAAGGTGAATACGAAAACACGAGCACGCAGTGATACACGCGACGTACGGTGGCCTGAGTGCAACTCTGCCTGCCCTGCCCCTGCCCCGCGCATTATTCCGCCAGGCGACCGCTTGAAATTTAATGGCGAATTGACCAATAAGAGGCGTTGTCCCCAGCTGTTACCGATAGATCACGCGCTAACTGTTATTATTTACATCTCATCTTGAATTTGGATTCAGATTAGTTGATTTCCTACGACCCTCGTCCAGAGGTTGCACGGCCGTCTATCGCAACACCCAGAGCCGTCGGGCCCAATCTACCTGGCCGTCGGACAAATGTTCCACGGCTCACGGGCGGAACTCCCAGCTCCGTCGGGGTAAATGTACGTTGCCGTTGGACAAAGGCTTCACAAATGACAAACGGATACTCCAGGGCCGTCGGGCCTAATCTACGTGGCCGTCGGACAAAGGTCCCACGGACAGAACTCCCAGGGCTGTAGGGCCCAATCTACGTGGCCGTCGGACAAAGGTTCCACTGCCCACAGGTGAAACTTCCAGGGCTGCTGGGCCCAATCTACGTGACCGTCGGGCAAAGGTCCCACGTCCCACGGGCGGAACTCCCAAGGCCGTCGGGTTCAATCTACACTGCCGTCAGACAGAGGTTCTACAGTTGACGGGTGGAACTCCCAAGGCTGCCGTTTCCAATCTACGTGGCCGTCAAGAAAATGTTCCAAGGCCCACGGGCAGAACTCCCAGCGCTGTCGGGCCTGATCTGAGTGGCCGTCGGACACCGGTACCATTGCCCACGAGCGGAACTTCCAGGGCCATCGGGTCCAATCTACGTGGCCGTCGAACAGAAGTTCCACTGCCCACGGCGGAGCTCCCAGTGCCATCGGCATCATTCTACACTGCCGTCGGACAAAAGTTCCACAGTAGACGGGCGGAACTCC